TAGTAGTACGTAGTACGTAGTAGTAGTAGTAGTAGTAGTAGTAGTAGTAGTAGTAGTAGTAGTAGTAGTAGTACGTAACGTAACGTAACGTACGTACGTACGTAACGTAACGTACGTACGTACGTACGTACGTACGTACGTACGTACGTCGTACGTACGTACGTACGTAGTAGTAGTAGTACGTACGTACGTCGTACGTACGTACGTGTGTGTGTAGTAGTAGTACGTAGTAGTACGTACGTACGTACGTACGTACGTACGTACGTACGTACGTACGTACGTACGTACGTACGTACGTACGTACGTACGTACGTACCGTAACGTAACGTACGTACGTACGTACGTAAACGTAAACGAACGTAACGTAACGTAACGTAACGTAACGTAACGAACGTAACGTACGTACGACGACGACGACGACGACGACGACGACGACGACGACGACTCGACTACACACACACACACACACACACACACACACACACACACACACACACACACACACACACACACACACACACACACACACACACACACACACACACACACAGTTATAAAGGTATACAGTGTTGATGTGGTACAGTAGCTATAATATAACCATGATGTTTACCTGGAGACAAATGCAGGGGGTCACAGAATACAGTGGGATGGTCATCCTGTTCCATCCCTTCAAAGTAAAATTAAACACAACAAGGGCTTTAATATAACTAGACTTACATATTGTTTATTAATGAGATTGAGAAACTAGTGGTTGCAAGTAACTAAAGGAACATTTATTGAATTGATGTCTGTAATTGTTCTGTCCTTCCATCTAATGCCACTGTATGCTACTGCTGAATTACCTACAGAAAGATGATATTGATACATTTAAGTAAAACTTTGAAGAAAAATGCTAAACATTCACTGGTTCTACTTGGTGTTACTTGTTTTTCTTGTATTTGACTTTAAACTAGAAGCATTTGGGTTTTTGTACTGCTGATCGGACAAAATATTGCAAATAGAATTGGTCAACTTGACCTTCTTGAACTCTGCAAAAAACAACAATAACAAAAGAAAAAAGGACAAACTGCACAGATAAACAACACTGACCTGACACTTTCCATTCTTCTCATACTGGATGCACACAGAGGGGAAGCTCTTATTCCTGCCATCAAACTGCAGCTCCACCCGATTCATCTCTTTGTTGATAACACTGATAAGCTTGGGCACTGACATGAGGAAATGAGGAAATTAAGAAACTAGTTATATTCCGCCAAAACAAATACTCATAAATAGGCACAAGGAAACAAACAACCAGGTATTATGTGGGGAATATTTACCATGGCATTCGTCTGGACGTTCCTGCTCCTCCTGGGTGCAAACTGAAGACAGATAACACAGTATGTGTCACTAATGGTTTATATTAGTTTAACAAGTGCTTTGTAGTTAAAAGACTTTACCATCATCTAGAGAAGGAACAGAAGCTTCTTGACTCAGAGGGGAAGCTTTAAGATAAACAATCACACGACTGCTGAAGGAAACCCCAGGTGGCTCAATAATCACCACAGAAATCTAAAGTATAGAAGAAACATTGAGAGTTTATAAGACAATGTTTACTAGAAGTGAGCAGTTCATACTTTTAATTCCAGTAGAGGGAGGGAGTCTACAGTACCTTTGACTGCTTTTCATGAGAAAGAGCTGCACGGTTAACCGTAAACTCCACCCTCTTGCACATGGACATGGCAGGAGCTGGACAGTAGCACACCGTCACAGACGCTGTTGCAACACAGATAAGACAGGGCTCAGGATTCATTGGCACAGTATAAGATAGTAAAAATGTAAGACTCACCTCTAAAACCACACTTATAAGATCACACTATTGTTTCCTGTTCAAACTATTGCTCCCTGTATCATAGTGTACTTATGGGAATGATTTGTATTGCCACACCATATGGTTTAGCAGTCACTGGTTTTCATTTACTCCACTATATACGAATTGATCAACATGACATTTTAACCATGTAGAATTTCTCCAAGTTAGTTGATCAAGGGTGAAGATAAAGCAGATATTAGTTTCTGTGGTCTGTAAGTCACATTGTACAGCGACTGTGAAACAAAGCACTGTTCATTTCACAATAACCCTGTAATATAAACTTCCATGCTTACTCAAACAGTCTTCCAGCAATAATTTCGCAACATCCCACAACCTGAAAAAAGGAGAATTGCTCACTGTATTCCTCCCCCTGAATAAATAAAGGTTAAGAAAACAAACATGTTAACATGCTCCTTAGCACGTGACTGTCACATCTTGGATGTTGTTTTAAATATTTCCTACTGCTAATCCCCATGTGGCAGTAATGTAACTTTGACAGAACATTATAGAAAAGACGAGTTCACTGTGATGCCTATTATAGTAGAAAGTTCCTGCAAGTTGACTTGAATATCAAACTATAACAAAACGAATACAATAGTTGATGGTAAGAAAACGTTGAAAACCTGTTATGTACTTTTGGAGACGGGCGGTGGCAACAGAAAGGAACGGATTGTTAAATTGATTAAACAAAACAACCAGTAACAAGTTATAGTAGGCGACATGTAGTTTGCACCTTTAAAATTCCTCTCTGATTCCTCCCCATCATCCTCTTCTCCATTTCCAGAGTGGCCTTCATGCTCCTGGGCTTTACCCGGATGAATGTTGATCTCTGTTTCTATCATCAGACATAATACACACGGCGCCCTGTCCCTGCAGCAGAGCCTAAAATATGGAGTCAGTTTTTGGATAACCACAGCATTTTCCTCTGGTACATTAAAAGGCATCTCATCCTTCATGGTGCAATTAGAGAGACCCTAAAAAAGTCAAAAATAGAAAGGAAAAAGGAGAAAGACATATGTTTAATATGTGCCATCGCCTTTTTACTGAATGTAATCTGGATGGTAAATATGTACTGTTCAGAGGAATATATTGTGATTGGTGGTCTACATACAATGGCACTATATCTTGACAAGCAGGCAGATGGTTATATCCCTTTGTTTGCTTAATTAAATGTTTGAGAGTTAACACTTTATCAGTGAAAAGGGAAATCAAACTGTCAGAGCAGGCTACACCAGCAGTAAAAGGAAATTAAAAGTGTAATATGTCAACAAAAACTCTATGTACTATTCTGCAGCACAGGAAATGTCTGCTTCAGTGTTTCCCAGCAGTTCACCCTTGGTTACCTCGGAGCAAATGACTCCGTCGCTGTCATATCCAGAAATCTCCAGATGGAAGGCTGATATGTGTAGAGTCAGTAAAACGCACCAAATGGTCCATCCAGTATGAAGCATTTTGACTGAGGACACTCCAATGGAGTCCTACAGTATTTTTCACCAAACATCTCAGTCCAGGAGCAACATCACAACCTTTTTAAACGAGTCCAGTGTCTTCTTCCTCATTGTGACTTTAGGATCCCATTTAACTTTAACATGTTCTTGGTCAAACTGCACATCAGCATGAAGGGAATCGAGACGTGGTTAGCTGAGTTTGATTGGTTTCACCTTTAGTCCCAGCCTGAAAAGGAAGAGACAATCCATGTATGGGCTGGTGTTTCTTCACACGCAGTGATACAATAATCAAAGACATCACATTCTTCTTTTTCAATAATTTACAAATGGGCTCCATCTGTTCGTGTTTTACAACTAACTTGATGGGTCAAGCTCACAAATCCCTCAATGGACAAAGTTACTGGGAACTCTGTAGTCCTTTTAACACTCCTTTAAACAAACAGGGCTTTGACAGTATATACATATAACATCAGCAGTAGGAAATAACACAAAACAAAAATCCTATGGGTTACTTACTGAGTTTAATAATCCACCGAAAGTACGCTCCTCTCCTCAGATTACCTGTACACCTTGTGTTGTTTGAGTCATTGTAAAATGGAATCATGAAGCACGTCACGTCTTTCCTCAAGGTACGTCCCTCCCTTTCTTCCTCCCTTTTTTCTCTCTTTCCCGCTTTCTCTATCACTCTTGCTCAGTCACAGCACAGTCCTTCACCTTGTTAAAAAGCACATCAGATTGAGACTTCCTGCTCTGACTCAATTCCTCATTACACTATAACCAGAACAACATAGACAGCTCAAAGTCCTCAACTACTTGGTTTAAAAATTAACTCCACCTGGAACACTGAGTTAAAGTAGCTTCATAAACAGAGCTGCTTTTTAACCACAGTTGACACTTCATGTGGTTTGTTGGCAACAATTTGTTACATTTGATTAATTTTTCTTGTTATGTCGGTTTGGCAGAGATCCTTGATTGTGTAATGTAGCTCTCTGTAGACTCTGCCTTGATAAACAAGTTTACCACCTCCGCTCATAATAACCTGATAATAACCCACATACCTTTGCACTCTAGTGCACAGCGAGAGGACAATCCAAAGTATCACTATAACACGCCTCCCATAGCTGCTCGACTGGTTTGATCACTTAATGTTGAACGAAGGAAAAAACCGTTGTGGCTTACAACTTTAGAAATGTTTTCAAACCAACGGGGGAAAAAATACAAAAACTATAGTTTACTCTGTAAATTCAGGAAGTTACTTTGCTACTGCAAACTAAGAAGAACAAGTATGTTTATTCAAGCTCTGTGTTGAACTGTGAGGAACAATCACTGAAGCTTTCCTAGGATTTATACATTTAATATGCTATTTACTTTTCAGACTGATATATTTTACTCCTAAACATTTAACTGATTGCTGTAGTTAGTCCTGATAAAGAGATAATCCATTGTCTCTGTTTAAACTGTGAATAAACAGTAAGTGAAGAAGAACTAACACCACATTTGACTGCACTGCTGCTGAGTAAACATTTAGTGCATCAACTATACCCCTACTATCCTCGTTTTTTAAGGTTAAGCTCTGAGTGCAAGAACTTGTATTTGTATTATCATGTTTTTTAATATTGTTGTATGGCTGCAGGATTTAAATAGTTTATTATTTCCATGCCTTCTTAAGATGTTTGGTGACATTATGCTTTCATCTCAATTACAATTGTATTTATTGTAAAGAGACTACATACATACGTAGAAACGGTGTGTAAACAGTAGACTCTACTGTTTACACACCGTACTATTTTCTTTTTTTGAGTAGAGGAACCTCTAATTATGTTTTAGGACCAGCTCTGCTGCTAACTGGGCTTTAAAAAAGCCTGTAGTAAAGATGTTTGACCATGAGACAGTTATTTATATGATGGTTATAGAATGTTTTACTCTTTTGAGTAAATAAATCACAGAGAGTGTGTTTGCATAGTCACATTTAACTATAACAATGTCATTGGAATATAAAGTTTGGGCAAAACTTTCTAAAAACGTCCTTCATATATTACATACACACACAAATACGTTAAAATCAGATTATATATCATATCCATAAGCACTCAAATATTAATTATGCTTTGTAACAATAATATATAGCATAGCATATTGTAGGGTTTTTTATATTTACTATATATCTTAATACTTTCATCATTGTCACTGATGGTTTTTTGGCCATTGCTGAAGTAATAAAAGGGAATCAAATTGCACTATGATCAGTATAAACTAAAAAGGTTAACGCATGAAGGATATTGTGAATATTGTTGGAAATCGATATGGATATTCATGCTCATGACTGCTTATAATGATAATTAACCAGCACCATAAGCAGATTCAAACGCATTGCTTATTTTTTTTTAACATAAACATGCATCTTTATCATGTATAATTGACATGGGCAACAAAGTGTTACCAAAGTTATTGTTTTTTAATGACATGATGGTAATGTTTGGATCCTAAAAGAATAATAAAGTAATAACACTTTGGAAAATGAATTGAGGGCTGCAGGAGAATTGTCACTATATGTTCTTGATTTAAATGTTTTAAGAAATACATTTTAATTTCAAAATATTAGTCAAACCATTGATACCATAAATTCTAGATAAATATCATCTAATTAAGTTCATAAAAAACAACCAATGAGCTTGGATAATATTTATTTGATTATCTTAGCTAAAGCTAGAAAGCATTTTTCCCCGATTAATCTGTTTGTGTTTGAATAATTTTCATTTCAAACTATGAAGGCCTCCAGGCGTCTCTGCAGGGCAGAGTCGGCCGACAGGAGCCAGCAGTCCAGTGTCAGGGGGGGGGAAATACTGTAGTCAGCAGCATTGGCCCTGGAAAACAAAGGCACAAATAGTCATATACTTGTAATAATAATAATACTGATAGATAGATAGATATCTTTTTATTAAAACCAACTAAAATATACCTGGTAACGTCAATCTCCTGGTCTTTGATCCTAAGTTTTGTGGTGGGAGTTTGTGGCACCTCCTCATAAACTGGATTCAGAGCTGGACACAGAACGCAAACAAGTAGGGAAGATAGCTGGCCTTCAAGGACACATTGCAGAAAATCATACAAAAATCTCATCATTTTTACCCACCTAAAATTCCTTCAGCGCTATCCGATGACTGCTGTCTTAAAACGGGCCAGAG